GGATTGGATGTTTTGTATATTTTTCTCGTAGAAACACACAAATTGTTCCAAAAAGTTCTTTAATTAAATACATTTACTTCTGAACTGAATACTGCCAGCGAGGTACATACCCCTCCCCCATTCAAAACATAATGATCTCACTCCCCAACTTAATACTTATTCTTTATAGTAATTCTGTTGTGATTATCCCGGATTTCAGATCTTGACTGTCTAAAATGATCAATGAATGCTTTTGACATTTCTTTACTTTCTCTCGAAGGGCTCGTCATGGACATCTTGATATGAATCATTTGTCTTGTATTCCTTATAAGATTGTTTTCCTTATAAGATTGTTTTCCTTATAAAATTGTATTCCTTGTAACATTGTATTCCTTGTAACATTGTATTCCTTGTAACATTGCATTCCTTGTAACATTGTATCCATTGTAATATTGTATTCCCTGTAATATTGTATTCATTGGAACATTATATTCCTTGTAACATTGTATTCCTTGTAACATTGTATTCCGTGTAAAATTGTATTCCTTATAACATTGTATACCTCGTAACATTGTATTCCGCGTAACATTGTATTCCAGGTAACATTGCATTCCTTGTAACATTGTATTCCAGGTAACATTCTATTCCGTGTAACACAGTAGTCCTTGTAACGTTGTATTCCAGGACTAATTCACATCCGCCAGACAATTCAAATTCATCACTCACTGGATAATTTAATAGACGAACATTTTGAGCTCGAGTGTAAAGTTAAAGAATATCGTGTGGTAGAAAGAGGAGTCGAGGTAGATATTGGCCTTTCAATTATTGACTACACCGGTTTCTGTGCCTGGGAAGGGGTGGTAACTCTGTTATCAAGGAGCCTGACTTCTCAGATGAGTGGAAGCGCTCGAAATAAAATAAGAAAGATATCCGTTTCGTGTAAGTATAACAGGTGCTCTTTCTTTGTAAATTTGTTTTGATAGTTCTAAAATAGACTCTTGGAGGATAGTTTGTGATGAGGTAATTACTTGCAACGTTTAAGGGAGGTAACATGTGTCCAAATTTTAAAAAAATGTCTTTTGATCGTTCTAATTCGCAAAAATCTGGCTCTTTTCAGCATTGGACAATGGGGCGATCTCAAGCTCTATAAGAGTCGGAGGCGACACCGGATTAAACTATGCCCATGCTACTGGTGATTGGAATCCACATCACCTCTATCCCTGGACTGCCAAACTACTGGGGTATCGACAGCCCATAGCTCATGGTATGTGGGTTCTGGGTAAAATGATAGCTTTGATACAATCTGGTAAGTTTTATGTTCTGATTTCAGAATAAATATTTCTATTGTGACTACAGAAAGTTGCCATTGTACCAGTCCCGTTGACACAATATTTCATAATTAATACCTAGCTTAATTTGAAACAGAAAAACCTAAGACCTAAGAATTATTCTATTTGAGCCATACTTGTGTTCATTCCTGTATTTCAGGACAAAAGCTAGAAAACTATCCTATCAGTATTGAGGCATTGTTTAGAAGACCACTGTTTATGCCAGGAAAAGTCGACTTCAAATACTCAAAGACATCATCTAATAGATATGATTTCCGTGTAATTGACACAGAAACAGCTGTTCCTCATTTGACTGGTTCGGTCGTCAGCTAACAGTCATTGTGCAAAATCTGATTTTTGTTGGACCTTATTTTACCTGTATGGTCCTACACAGTTGCATATCGAAAGGCGCAGAAAAGACCCCCAAATATTATCTTTCCTGGCAACGACCGAAAAAAACGTCGGGTAGACAAGTGGTGTTTTCGAGTGATGCTCTCGGAGCAATCTAATAATTGGAAAATGTCAGCATTGATATTAGATCCAATGATTTCAACATGTCAACATTGATAACTCAACCAAGGATTTGACCATGTCAGTAGTCATTTACAAAGAGGACAGACATAGAATAAAATTTATTTTCAAAAATATTATCAGATTAAAAATATTAAGCAATTATATTTAAAGCTAAAACAAGATTTAAAAATATTAACAGACTTTAAACAGTTTTTTTGACGTGACATATATTGATTAAACCACCTTTGATATTAATGACTATAGACTCGGACTGTAGGGGTTGTAGATTTACACTGACTCGTTTCGTTGACAGGAAGACTCTGCATTTCCGTTTCTATCTGGCTTTGGAATATTCCATGGGAACATCTGATGATGCTGATGCCACGGTTTTTTTCTTTCTTTGTGGACAAAATGGCAGCTTTACACAACAAGAAAACAAGGAAGCTGAAATAGAAGAAAATGCAATTGAATGGATTAAAGTAAACTCTTTATTATTAATTTAATTGGAACAATCTGGTTCAAGAATAGATATGCTTCAGCATGTGCGTAAATTCGTAGGTCAAATCTTTTGCGTCTGAATACAAGATAAATTCACCAGGATATTATAACGAAAAAATAAACAAGGAATTGTGAAGCCATAGTACTCTCAAAACTGCCAACGTAAAAACTGTATTTTTAATTTGATTGTTGAGAACAACTGAATACACTTTTTGGAAACATGTTTTGAAGTACATAGAGTTACACAAAGGAAATTCAAATAGTGTGAGTAAACGGTGTCCTGAGGAAAACTAAACATTTAACGCTTCTTTATATATCAGTACATGATTGTGTCCTGTATGGACTATATGGCTATGTGTTTATTGAATATGCATTGTATTGAAACACGTATATGATGTAGATTTGTAGATGGTCACATAAAACTATATTTTATGACTATATCAGATCAATATTATTTATTCATTTACATATACCACATAAGTTAACATATCAACTAATAGGATTTAAAAAATTACTTCAGTCAGATATTTATAATGCAAAACAATTCACGTTTGATAACATAAATTTTTAAGGTCTGTTATAATTTTGTTCTTACAGTTAAATTATTTATATTGATTATTTGTTTGCGGTTACATCCTATTCTAGGTTTATATTTAAGATAACAGCACACATACTAGTGCGAAAAACCCTTACATATATATACTACGACAGATGATTTTAATGACTAATATTGTCGAGGAGGTGGTCAGATAGAAATGTTTTCGTCGACATCAGAGCACGCTGGTATCAATCGATAAGCGTTTTTTTCGCCCAATTTAAAGAATATATGATTTTGGGGATATTACTCCGAACGTAAAAGCTTGAGGTGTTCGATGGCTCGAAGGTTTCGCTGATATCCACAAACAGGGTCTTTTACTCCAAAGCGACAAGCCGTCAAAATCATCTTTAAACCCTGTAAATAGACTTCATCGAACTACATACAATACACAGTATAGTTAAATATATTTTAATAAAGTTTATTTTTTTGTTTATCTAATTATATATATAATAAAACATATGTTATTATCTTGTCACGTTTTTTATTGTTATATTAATCATAAAACAACTTTTTGTTCATAAAGTTTTATTATATACAGGTCGACTTTGACGTCAAATGAATATAACTGTATTTCGAGTCTTTAGCACGAAATTACACTGGTACCTATATGGTATCTTCATCTAAATTCGTTTAAAGTTTATTTCTAATATTGTCTCAAAGATACAAAGATAGAGAAACTTTTAAGCTTACCTATAGCTGTAAAAACTCCAAATATATACAATATATTTCTCCAGCCGACCAATTTTAGGAGAATATTTATTACCAACGGTCCACCAATACCAGACAATGACTAAAACAGCAATTTATTATAAATATATTTTAAACTTACTCTGAGTTTCACGATACCCAATTTTAATGTTTTATTTAAAGAAAAATGAAGGTTTTCTTGTACGGGTTATGAATGAGATGTGATAAACTGAACATAGATTTTTGAAATACATGTTAGTTTAATTACATATAAAATACGAAGATATGAATTCCATATAACATTATTGAATATTAATTAATAGATTAATAACCTGCGTGTACTTACAACAGAAGTCCAAATGATGGCAAAATTAGTAGTGAAATGCATTACACCCCATGTGGAGCGTATTATACTTGGTGCTAATATTAATACCGAAGATAAAACACAATATAAGGCACAGATCCAGAAAAAGAACCAACCACGAGGTAGATTGTGGGTTTGATACAATGAAAAGGTTAACATTGCTGACACAAACATATTTAGAATCAACATGATCTGAAAAATGACAAAAAAAACCCATCAGCAATCGCTTTATGATTACCAAAATATCTCAAAGACCGAATTCAAGATTGGCTAATAACCCTCATTACCAAACAGGCTGTCTCGATTAATTACCCATACCCATACTGTTTGAGATGGAGCACGCTACTTCCAAAAAATCAGTAGCGTATTTAGGCTAGCGCCTCGTAGATACACCTCTCATTTTGCACCCCATATTTTCAGATAAGCACCTGCACTGAATGAATAAATACCTACCTTTGTACTGGTCATGTCAGCGATATAAGCTATGGAAATTTTATATACGGCCGACAGGATGGACGCCGTGGCTCCAAGTGTAGCTAGAAAATGGTCATCGTGAATAAAAGTCTGACCAAAACTCTGAAAAAGATAAATTATTATGCTAGGCTAGAAATATGTTCCCCCGTGCTGATTCCAGACACCCGAGTGAAGTGTCATCTTCATTGAGTTCATCTTATATTACGATGTGCATGTGCGTGAAACAGAATTCTTACCAGGTCTGCTAATTTGGGATATGGGGTTAATGGTCCAATGCTAGTACGTCAAAACCATAAAAGTGTCAATTATTCAATTACTGTTTGTAGAAAAGTAGGACGTAAAACTTCAATTTATTTAAGAGGTGTGTTATATGGGACGACACTGACCTTATATATGGACTGAATACCCATTAACACAGTTGCAGATGTAAAAACAACAATCCATAAAACATAACTTCCTGGATCTTTAAATAATTCCATTGGACTACTCTCACCTCTGAAATGGGAAAATTCACAAACAATCAACGGATTATTCGCCTCGTATGATCATTTCAAAAACAGGATTAAGATATTGAGCATTGTAAAAAAGGGTAGGCCCTATTATCGCAGTTTATTTGAAGATAATGTTCGTGGTCTCAAAATATGTAAAATCAGAGGAAACCTAAAGAACTTATCAATTTGTCCGATTTGATCTTTGAATTGCTTGAGTCTACATATATAAGCACAGGGCAGGAAACGGGCGCATTTTTTATTACTTCATAATAGTAGTGCAACCCAGTGTAAGGGTTTTTCAGATGACGTCGTCAGCTAACGTTTTGAAACCAACTTGATAAAGATAATGACAGTCCATGCAAACTTTCACTCATTCTGATTAACGGTAAAGAAAACTCACATTAATGATTCTTCTCGAGAAGTTCCTGGTTCATTTTCATTCTGAAAATCCTCCTGAAACGAAACGATTAGCCAGGCTGTTTATTTTGGCATTTATTTACAAAACTTGACTCTTCACTCTAATGGCATTAGCTATTCGCCTGTAAACTGGTCTGTATTATTATATTCTATGCCCATGTCAATTCGAAAACAAAATCTTCATGCTTGACTTCCCTAAACTAAATTGTTGTGTCAGTGTATAGAGAACATTACGCTTTTTTGTGACCTTGGCCAGTGCTTTACAAAGGATTTTTTCGGAACTAATACTACTCTATCAACAGACGTCGTCATTGTCATTCGGTAAACCAAATGGCCCATTGGTGACCAACCTAATATATCCGATTTTTCGTTTACTTCTTGAGTATGTTCTCTTTCTTACATGGTTCTTTGATTCTTAATATTCTCTGATTCTAGAAGAAACGCCGAGACTAAGGTTTCGCTTATACTTACATAAGTGACTGCTAAAGGTGTAAAGGCAAGAATGGTACCAATGAATTGTAATACAAATACTATTCCACCCAATAACAGGAATGTATTTGGTACTTTGTTTAATAATACTGTTTGATTAAATACACTGGAAATGAAAGAGTTTTATTTTAAAGAAGCATAGGGTATTTGAGTATACTATTTTTACGTTTCACGTGCTCATACAATATTATCAAGAGGATTGAATGAATTTAGAAATGTTATATCCATGAAATCCACCATGTTTATCTGAAACACCAACAGCTCGCTGTGAGCCTCTATATCATTGCCCACCCAGAGTTTAATAAGGTGCTAAAATTGGGATGCAAAACTCCATTTCAATTCTATCATATTGCTCTATGAAAGAAAATTGGGCTTTCTAGTCTGTTATCGGGACTATTTCCATTTGGATATTCTAGACTAATGGAAACCATTTTTGGACGAGCTTCGTCGCCATTGTGTTCAAACACAGTGGGACTGGTTAAAAGAGGTGACCAAAACTACCACAACCTGTGATAACGAATAAACTGGATATAAAAATCAGTTGACCTACCGTACCGAACCTAGGTGTTCATGTGGAGAAAGATTATCGGGATTAACATAGGCTGATACTACAGAATTAAACACCGTACCCCCAGTACTGAATCCCGCTATTAATACAGCACTAACTGTAGCTACATGATCAGGAAACCACTGAAAAACACATTCATGGTATGATCAGACTGGGAGCAAAGGCTTCGTGACATCTATGAACATGTAAGTGAACGAAATTTACTTTATGGAATCACGAAAAACCATTGTAACTATTCTGACAAATCTGGTCCTATACAGTTTGTCAGACGGATGTGATATCTCATGTCTTGCTGAAAATTCTAATATGGCCCAAGTAGCGACCCAATCTGATTCTGATCCGGTTTATCCCACAAGATAAATTACACTAAATATTTGGCCTTACCCGTGACGATATCACATCCTTTTATTATGACGTCCGTGTGACGGAACTGGGTAGAGTCAGATTTGTCGGATTACATCGTATCGTCAGAAGTTGAAAAAAACAATTTGCAAACCGTTACTTTAAAGAACCCACCTGGTCGGAAAATAACAAAATGATATACTATACCATGGCATTAAAAATGAAATTCGAACACATACATCCGGTTCTTATTGCTACAATACTTCAATCAATGGCAATCATTCTCTTTAAAAAGGTCATTTTGACATAATTTCATATATAATACTGTCGACACATTTATATACCTACCCTGGAGATTAAATCTAATGAAGTGACATATCCTATACCAGCACCAAACCCACAGATTAAACCATACGTTAATATAGTAGCCCAGATCGAATGGTGAATTGATACATATGATAGCAGATAACCAGTCCTATAAAACGGTAGATTAATAAACTAAGAAATATCAGTTGTGAAAAATTACCAACGAATCAAATGTTAGATTTACACAGGTTAACACATGCACTGGTTAAAAAAATTTAATTCAATTATCCACATTATCCACATAACTATCGATATATCAGGATAATGTAGGTCAACTATCAATATATCAGGATAATGTAGGTCAACTATCAATATATCAGGATAATGTAGGTCAACTATCAATATATCAGGATAATGTAGGTCAACTATCGATATATCAGGATAATGTAGGTCAACTATCAATATATCAGGATAATGTAGGTCAACTATCAATATATCAGGATAATGTAGGTCAACTATCGATATATCAGGATAATGTAGGTCAACCATCTACACATCATGGTAATGTAGGTCAATTATCTACACATTATGGCAATGTAGGTCAATAATGTAGGTCAACTATCAATATATCAGGATAATGTAGGTCAACTATCAATATATCAGGATAATGTAGGTGAACTATCAATATATCAGGATAATGTAGGTCAACTATCAATATATCAGGATAATGTAGGTCAACAATCAATATATCAGGATAATGTAGGTCAACAATCAATATATCAGGATAATGTAGGTCAACTATCGATATATCAGGATAATGTAGGTGAACTATCAATATATCAGGATAATGTAGGTCAACTATCAATATATCAGGATAATGTAGGTCAACTATCAATATATCAGGATAATGTAGGTCAACTATCAATATATCAGGATAATGTAGGTGAACTATCAATATATCAGGATAATGTAGGTCAACTATCAATATATCAGGATAATGTAAGTCAACTATCGATATATCAGGATAATGTAGGTCAACCATCTACACAATATGCTAATGTAGGTCAACCATCTACACATCATGGTAATATAGGTCAATTATCTACACATTATGGCAATGTAGGTCAACTATCTACACATTATTATCACTATATAGGTCAACCATTTATACTTAAGGATAATGTAGGTCAACTATCAATATATCAGGATAATGTAGGTCAACTATCGATATATCAGGATAATGTAGGTTAGCTATCTATACATCATGGTAATGTAGGTCAACTATCTACACATCATTATCACTATAAAGGTCAACCATTTATACTTAAGGATAATGTAGGTCATCTGTCTGAATGTATATGGGTCAGCTATCCTCATCTGAAAGATTATGTACGTCAACCATCTACATGCATGTTATGATGATATAGGTCAACCATCTACATATTATGATGATATAGGTCAACCATCTACATGTTATGATGATATAGGTCAACTGTCGTCTACTTGCTGTACTAATATAAAATATGATAATATAGGTCTACACATTGAGACAATGTAGGTCAACGGTCTACACATTAGGATAATGTAGGTCAATGATCTACACATTATAACGATGTAATTCAACTACTTCACATTTAGATAATGTAGGTCAACTATCTACAATTTGAGAATATATAGGTCAACTATCAAAACATCATGATAATATAGGTCAACCAGCACACTTAATGATAATATAGGTCATATATCTACACATTATGATGATTAGGTCCACTATCTTCAAGTTATGATGATATAGGTCAACGATCTACACACCATGATAATATAGGTCAACGATCTACACAATATGATAATGTAGGTCAATTATCCACACATTGATTTAATGTAGGTCAACTATCTACAGGTTATGTTAAAGTAGGTCAACTATCTACACATGAGGATAATGTAGGTCAGCTATCTACGCACTATGATGAAGTAGGTCAACTATCCACACGTAATGATAATGTAGGTCATTTAACTACACATAATTATAATATAGGTCAACGAGCACACAAAATCATAATGTAGATAAAACCTTCTACACAATATGATAAATATTAAGTCAACAATCTACAAGTTATGATAATATAGGTCAACGATCTACACACCATGATAATGTAGGTCAACGATCTAAACACCATGATAATATAGGTCAATGATCTACACGCCATGATAATATAGGCCAACGATCTAAACACCATGATAATATAGGTCAACGATCTACATGCCATGATAATATACGTCAACGATCCACACACCATGATAATATAGGTCAACGATCTAAACACCTTGATAATATAGGTCAACGATCTACACGCCATGATAATATAGGTCAACGATCTACACACCATGTTAATATAGGTCAACGGTCTAAACACTATGGTAATATAGGTCAACGATCTACACGCCATGATAATATAGGTCAACGATCTACACACCATGATAATATAGGTCAACGATCTAAACACCATGATAATATAGGTCAACGATCTACACGCTATGATAATATAGGTCTACAATCTACACACCATGATAATATAGGTCAACGATCTACACACAATGATAATAGGTCAAACGATAATCATGATAATGTAGGTCATGTATCTACAATGCATATGGGTCAGCTATTCTCATCTGAAAGATTATGTAGGTCATGGTCAATCTACAAGTTATGATAATATAGGACAACGATCTACACATTATGATTATATAGCTCAACGATCTACATGTTAAGGTTATGTAGACTACGTATCTAAAAAATTCGAAGAAAAAAAGTTACCTACGTAAAAATGACATTAGAAATGCCCAGCGTTAATCTGTAACCAAATCTTTTCACAAGAAGTCCAGATATTAACATGGTCACAAATAGTGAACCATTAAACATCCCCAATATCCATACTTCACTTCCGATATCAGATTCATTGTAAAATCCCTGGTAGTGCATAAACGCTGTTACATATGTAATCAAATTTCCTGAAATTATTTTTCTCATGATCATAAATATCAAATCTAATAACAATAATTTCTAAATGACATTTATAAGTAGGTAGAACATTAAATAAATAAGAACACTATTATGGATATACTAACTACTTTAATTTCTACAGCGTTTCAATTCAATAATATTGTTGTATCCTAATTGCTTATTGATCACATTGTAGTTCTTCTTTATCCACTAGTGCTTATATATCCATAATAGTTTTCTAATTTTTTAAATCTAATAACTGTTGGCAATATTGGATAGGCAAAAGTAGGTCTTTATTCAAATTACTTGCTTACTTTCGTAACAAAAACCTTCTGTTTCATTTCATGCAAATATTTAATAAAAACAAAACAAGATCGCTACAAGAGAATATCAACTAAAATATCTCAGGATCCTGTCAAAGGATTGGTTTTTGAACACCATCCTCTCTCTCACTAACACTTCTATTAGGGATCTATTAAGAACTATGGTTTGTTGCATAAATCATTGCACGTACCAAATAAAAACGGCACTCCAATGCAGGAGTAGATAAGGAAACCACCAAGTAATGTGGCCCATTTCTTATAGTTAATTTCTTTAAAATTAACCATTGATACCATTCGAAGGTTCAGCGTAACATTTCTTCCATAAATTACTTAACTCCTAATTCCTGAAATGAATTAATTAGTTTATAAGGTTTTAAGGAATATCGACAACACAATACATATCAACACAAATACAATACATATCAACACAAATACAATGCATATATTATATTAATATATTAATCAACACAGATACAAGGTATATTAATCAACACAAATACAACACAAATCAAGATATGTCAACACAAATACAAAATATTTTAATCAACACAGATACAAGGTATATTAATCAACACAAATACAACACAAATACAAGATATATCTACACAAATACAAGATATATGTCAACACAAATACAAGATATATCTACATAAATACAATACATATCAACACAAATACAACACATATCAACACAAATACAAGATATATTTTATCTATCAACACAGATATAATACATTTCAGCACAAATACAAGATATGTCAACACAAATACAAGATATATCTACAGAAATACAATACATATCAACACAAATACAAGATATGCCTATCAGCACAAATACAAGATATATTAATCAACACAAATACAACACAAATACAAGATATATCTACACAAATACAAGATATATCTACACAAATACAGGATATATTTTATCAATCAACACAAATATAATACATTTCAGCACAAATACAAGATATGTCAACACAAATACAAGATATATCTACACAAATACAAGATATATCTACACAAATAGAAGATATATGTACACAAATACAATTCATATCTACACAAATACAATACATGTCAACACAAATACAAGATATATCTACACAAATACAAGATATATGTCAATACAAATACAAGATATATCTACACAAATACAATACATATCAACACAAATACAAGGTATACACATATACAAGATGTATCAACAAAAGTTCTAGATACATCAATATATATGCAAGACATATTACACTCACATAAATAACACATTATTAGCATACTATATTCCCTTAACTATTCTATTCGCTTATTTATATTTATCAGAATATATTATACAGATAATGGTCGAGTTTATAATCATTGTTGAATATTAATCAAGTGTAACATTAAATATGCAACAGAGAGTGACGGCGCCAGTGGGAGTATAGGGGAGCGGGTCATTTGCCCCCTAGAAAAGTGGTTTGCACCCCCAATTGTACCCCCACTTTATTTTTAACACATCTAAATGTCGACCCTTTTCTTCCAAAATATGTGTTAGAATTCACAAATCAATTCATTTTACTAAAATTTTCTTGGGAGAACCCCTTAAGACACTCTATGAGAGGCTTGCGACTATTACAAAACCACAAATTAGCCAAATTTGAATTCAGCCTCAGCAGTTGTCCCTCCATTGAATCAGATTGGGCACCTATTTGTACCCCTAGTCTAGCAAGGTTTGCGCCGCCACTGGCAGCAGGTGGAATTTAATAGTTTAGAATACTGTCTATTTCACAACAATATCCCTTTGGTTTAGTATGCATATTTCTGTGAAACAGTATTATTATAGGAACAAAGTCAAAAAGCACATTGAATTAGAAAGGTGTACGATTCCTTTCCACATCGAAACCTTGATCCTTCTGGCCAATATTCTCTTCACTAAATTTCAAAATAGTTTTATGGTTCTACCTACATCATTATTCAATTGCGTTCTACAATATTGTTGTTTTGAGCATTATTCTAACGTAAATATTTTATGATCAATTTTATGACACTTTCGCATAATATTTTGTTGCTTAACATTCAATCAATCATAATTAGTGAAGAGAAAACAGGCCTTTTCGGTCACAGATGTAATATATCAAATAGCCTTACACCACCTTCACAAATCGGACTGGTTTTATAACCATGTCAGATAAGTGTATATTAATAATTGATCTCAGGCAAGTCAGAAATTTGTGAGGTGTAATATTAGTATAAGTTAAAAACAAACCCGAATTTGACAATAAAATTAATCCTTTCACGGAGTATTCATCCACAAACTAACCGTAATTTAAATTTACCTTTTAATTGCATTATATTCATTATATATCCTACGTCACTTTCTAAAAACTACATCAAAACGTGATATATGTCTATATTCTCTTTATCATACATTCATATATATCATAAATATCCGCTTGCCTACTGTTATGCTATTGTATGAAAAGGAGACCCGTTGACAATGTTAAAAGCATATATTTTGTCTCCATGATACAGGAAGCTGAAATGATCTTCTTGCAGCTGATTAAGCCAAAAATAAGACGATTTAATACCTTTAAATATTTCCGAACCTAATAAATTAATGGAGGGTAGATCTAAATTTTTTTAATAAACTTTTCATATGTATCGGTTCATACAATTCCACTAAAACTAATTGTGTATGACGTCACTAATCGCTTTATCACACAAGGACTCAATTAGTGACGTCATATACACTTAGTTCTAATTGGATGAACCACAGACGTCTGATTGGAAATTGGAATTGATGCTATCGATGTCTCCGATACACATAAAAAGTTCAGAAAGCCTCTTTACAATCCTTTTAATAAATTAATCCGATTCTTGGTGGTCGAAATATCAAAGAACATCATCCAAAGGTTGATTGAACTATCAATGGAAGTACGTAACACAATTGATGGTCGAAATATCAATGAAAGTACGTAACACATTGAGTGGTCGAAATATCAATGAAAGTACGTAACATATTGAATGGTCGAAATATCAATGAAAGTACGTCATGCGATGGTTGGTGGAAATATCAATGAATATACGTTACGCAATGCGTGAACTCAATGGTTCTCTATGTTTATAAGTTGATTAAAATATAAATGAAGTCGTTAACACCAGGTGTTCATAAATGATCAATACATAAAATGTCATCTCACAATCAATTTGTTCCACCGGTTCCACATTTTATAGCCCCAAGATACATACCACACATTTATATAAATTCATAACAACTCTGACAACAATAGGCATGCTTGCTGACACAGGAAACGGAGCTAAGTATCAAGGCTCCGTTCCTCAGAATATTTTGCCATAAGATTGACACATCAAATATTCGATTTTACTTGCTACTTTGCATGTTAGAAAATCACACTTACGACAAAAATCGATCGGAAAATTGTTAGAGAAAGTAGGTCAAGGGAGTATGTTACCCGACTTTCTCACTCTGGTAATGTATGCATATAAATAAATGAAACAAGTGACGCAGCACTGTAATCTTCAGTCTGGGTCACTTGTGTCCCTGGAAGACGCTAATGAAAAGAGTGGGTGTGTGATGCTTATTTCAAAAAGAAGAGATGTGATATAAAACATCGGGGAGTGATGAAACTGTCCGCTGTGTCAAGTTTCATTTCGTGTGTCCCTTGTCTCTTTAAAACGTTATACAACTGCGTCTAAGGTAAAATCTGATATAAAAAATCATTTAAACACATGTTTAAATCAATAATACAAAACAAAAAATAAGCTCAGATAGCTTTTCTTTTTCTAACGTTTTCTTCACGTTTGCCAGGGACCAAGCTGTCGTAACGGGGTTTTTCTCGAGGCCCTTTCCTGAATGAGTCAATTACTTCATCGTAGTGGCCAATAAATCTGCTGCTCATATGTCATCAGCAGCAGTCACTCGGTCTTGCACCTGAACTAGTTGGCATGACTATGTGTACAGGATCTTCATTCAACACTTTTAACTTCATCTGCATCAAGATGTTGGCCAATTGAAAAAAAATTTGCTTTATCTTTGGAAATAAATTCATAAACTCTGCTGCACAGCGTACCAAACTCAAAGTCTTTATTGGGACAAAATGCCTCCATCTTTGACAATGGATGGTTCTGTTGTAAAACAGCAAATTTCACCTACATCCGTGCGAATACTAAAGTGACAAAAAACGACTAAATTTAAATTTGCAAGTTTACAATGATATTTATGATGGTAATAACAACAAGGCAATTAATACTCCTGGATATACTACGACAAAAACAAAATCATAACCTATAATTGTTCGAGACACGAGTCATTTAATTGAATGTATGGTAATTGGCACGTTAAAATGAATCAGGCTTCCTTAATACGCTAGCTATTAAGTTGCGTCGCACAGACCGTCAATAAACTTTTCAAGAATGAAAGCACAGGAATAAAAAAGACCCCATCACGACTTATCTGCGTATGTTCAAATTTTGAAGACGGGGAAAAAAAATATGATTCATTTTTTTTACAATATTTTGAATGTCTAAAATCATAATAATTGCGAACTTTTGCTGAAAAGTGTTCAATATTGGCTTTTGGCGCCCCTTTAAAGAACGCTACTTGATTTTCCGTCCCTGGTGGAGCAAGTGCCCCACTTTGACTGCAAACTACGATGTGATACCACTTAAATTGAACCCTGTTATTATATGTGAGGAATTGAACAATGACGGTCATTTTAATTATTGCAACAGTTCATGTTAAACAGTCAATTAAATTATATATTAATAATGAGTAATATATGAAATATAATATACTGATAATTGATATTCTACCATCAATATTAACGTATTTTAATATAGCATGCAAGATATCAGGTTAGTGTTGTCACTTCATACAGTGAAGGAGATAATAGCAGTGTGCCCTCT